TGGTTGTCAGCACTTACATGGCACCTAACAACTGTCTGTAACTCCAGTTCCGGGGGATCCTACACCCTCTTCTGGTCCCCTCTAGCATTGCATGACACCGGTGTACTTAGATGCCTATAGGCAAAACACTCATACACATAAAAAAAGAAAAGAAAGAAAGAAAAGAAAAGAAAGAAAAAATTTAAAAAGATTGGGACTGGAAAGATGGCTGAGCAGTTAAGCTGTTCTTCCAAAGGACCTGAGTTTGATTCCCAGATCCATATTGGGCAATTCACAACTGCCTGTAATTCCAACTCTAGGCAATCTGACAACCTCTTCTGGCCTTTGTGGACACCCTGTGACATACACTCACAGATATACATACTCATACACAAATAAAAATTAAAATAAATCTTTTAAATACTTTTAAAAGGCAAAAGAGAGTCAGTGCAGTTTTTTTGGATTGTTTGGTTTGGTTTTGAGATGGAGAGAGGCCTACTTCAGGATTATTTTTGAGAAAATGCCTTACAGCCTAGACATTCCAATTGAGAGGTCTGTAGAAATCCATGTATAAGAAAATGAACCCTGAGGCTGATATATGTCTGTAATCCTACACTTAGGAGGTAGAGGCAGTTGGATCAAGAATTTAAGGTTATCCTCAGCTACATAGGGAGTTCTAGACCAGCCTGGGCTATAAGACCCTATCTTAACCCCCCCCCAAGGAAAGAAGCCTGGTTTGTGTTTGTTCCTCTCTCCTCTCCCCCTTTTTTTTTTCTCTCTCTCTCCCTTCTCTCTCTCCCCCTCTCCCTTTCCTTTTCCTCTCCCTCTCTTCTCTCTTTCTCCCTCTCCCCTCCCCTGTTTCTTTCCTTCTTTCTTCTCTTTCTCCCTCTCTACCTCCCCTGTGCTTCCCTTCCTCTCTATCTCTGTGATTTGAGACATGATCTCACTAAGTAGTCCAGGTCCAGGCTGGCCTTGAACTCACAGAGTCCTCCTGCCTCAGACTTCCAAAAGCTGAGATTATATGTGGACACCACCAAACTGGCTTTTTAAATTTTTGAGACAGGTTCTCACTGTGCAGCCAAGGCTGGTCTGGAATTCATGGTGGTCCTCCTTCCTCAGCCTGCCAAGTCCTGGAATTATAGGTATATACTACTATACCTGACTTTTTAGGGGCTTTAAGAAAAAACCCTAACAAGTTTATTGGGCTTGCTAACAGAGCATAGGGTTGGGGTTTATTTATAGAAGAGTGCCTCCCCCCATTTAGGGGCTATTTTAAAAATGTATTTGTGTCTGTCTGTCTGTCTGTCTGTCTGCATGAGTTCCTGTGCTCATGTGCCTGCAGGTGTTCTTCAAAGCCAGAGGTCTTAGATGCTCAGGAACTACAGTTATAGGCCACCTGATGTGGGTGCTGAAAACTGAACCTGAGTTCCCTGCAAGAGCAGTAAGCACTTTTAACAGCTGATCCATCTTTCCAGCTCTAGGGGCTATTTTTAGATGACAGACACTTATTTTCTTTAGACAGGTGAGGAAAAGCTTTTTTATGAGCCAGGGATTTTTTTTTTTAATTACAAATTTTTTTTAATGTGTATGAGTGTATTACCTGCATGTAGGCACCCATGTCGTGCAGTGCCTGAGGAGGTCAGAAGAGGGTGTCAGATCCCCTGGAACTGGAGTTACAGACTGTTGTTAGCTACCATGTGGGTGCTGGGAATCAAACCCGGGTCCTCTGCAAGAGCAGTCAGTGATCTTAACTGCAGAGCCATCTCTCCAGCCCCTAGCCATGGATTTTCTTTTTGTCTTTTTGAGGCAGGGTCTCCCTGTAGCCCCAGCTGTCCTGGAACTCACTATGTAGACCAGGCTGGCCTTGAACTCACAGAGATCTGCCTGCCTCTGCCTACGAGTGCTGGGACTAAAGGCATGCGCCACCACTCCCAGCCCCTAGCCGTGGATTTTTAAAGGTGCATTATTTGTTTTTAATTGTCAGAGCCCTTTGAAGTAGGTGGGTATTATTATCCCTGTCTCAGGGTTGAGGAAAAGAAGGTTAGAAGAGGGTGTGTGCCTTGTTGAAGGTCACATATCTGTAAGCTATGAGCTAGGCATTTTTACACTCTCCAGCAGCAGCCTTCCCAGACTCTTGGCTTCTAGGGGGAAAAAGGAGTCTGATTTCTATACTCTGCTGGGCCCCTTGTTCTTGGACCCATTTGCCAACTAGGGGCTAACTGCTGCTGTCTGAACAACCCCCATACTTAATTCATCTGAAAAACATGTATTGTTTTCATTCCAAAGACAAAAGAATCTAGGCAAGAGACATTCCAAATCAGGATAAAACTAAGCTCCCAGCCCTCTGTGCTCTCCAAAGGCTTCTAAGCTTAATTAATGACCACTGTTGCACTGAGAAAGAGACAGACACCCTGCTCTAGGCTTGCACATGCACATACATGCCTTTCTCTGACAGTGTGAGCCTACCTGCCACCTTATCCCTCCTGTCTATAGACCTGCATAGTAGAATGCTACCACTGTGGAGCTTTTTTTGTGACGAAAACACAACATATACATTCCAGTTAGGGTTTTACTGGACTTCTAAATAATTCTTTGAGGCAGGCAGGAATTTTGATTTCCTTTTTGCAGTGAATGAAGAAACAAATGAAACATGTCCCCAGTCACATAAGTAATTATAGCCACCACCACTCTTAATCAAGCTACCTCATTTTCTTCCTTGTAATACTAATCTGTTGTTGCCTTGGAGTTGGGAAGTGCTTGATTTTAGTACATTTATTTGCACATTTCTGCACCCAACAATATTTATTGACCTCTGTCTCCACTAGACTTTATGAAAATACAAGCGGGTTGGTCTCAGTTTTACTTTAATAAAGCACCATATTAGAAAGGACAGACATCATAATACTGACTTTTCAGAAGGAGTTGCTTTCAGAGAGAAGAGTATTTCAGTGAAGAATTGAATCCCAAGTGGTACAATTTCTTGCAGTTGCAAGGAAAGATGGCAGGAAATGGCACCTGTTTTGTTTTGTTTTGGTTTTTTTTTTAGAAAGCTATGCATGTAGTGCCATCTGGTGTCCATCCTGAGCAAGATCAACTCTTTCTACAGGGACAAAGTAGGCTGAAACAAAACAAAACAAAACAACAACAACAACAAAACGCTGTTGTCACAGAGAAGCAATAGCCTAATATTTCTCTTCTCTTCCTGTTTGTTCCATCACGTCTTTCCAAGCCTCAGTCATAGATAACTCTGGACTAGGTGTTTTAAAATGTTGAATTTGAGGACAACAATTAAGAGCATGTGCTGCTCTTGCAGAGGACCCAGGTTTCCTTCCCATCACCCACATAGAGGCTAACAACCATCTGTAACTCCAGTTCCAGGGGATCCGACACCCTCTTCTGACCTCTGCAGGCATTGCATGCACAGGTGCGCTTACATATATGCAAGCAAAACATTCGTACACATGAAATAAAAATAAAGCTATAAATTGAAATTTTTTTAGATGTTGAATTTTATTTCTGTCTCTGTTTCTCATCTTTTTTGTTTCCTGTTGTTTTTGAGACAATTTCTCATAGGCAAGACTATCTTCCTGCCTCTACCTCCCAAGGCTTGAGTTTGCAGATGTTCACCACTGTGTCTGGCTGGTTTTCATATTCTTAAATAACTAAGTGGACAGTGCTTTTCTCTCTGGGGTCTTTTATTCTATAGTCTATTTCTTCTTACTATTATTTTTGGTGGCAGTAGTGGAAGTGGTGGTGTTATTTGAGACAGTGTCTCACTGTGTAACCCTAGGTGACCTGGAACTTGCTATATAGACCAGATTAGTCTTGAATTTGCATTAATCTTCCTGTCTCTACCTCCTGAGTCCTGGAATTACAGGCATGTGTCATTTCATCTGGTCTTTTACTTTTCTCTACCTCAGTTCTGAGCCATACCTCCCTTTTTCCTTCTTAAAATATTTTATTACATTTTTTAATTTGTGTATATGTGTGTAGGTGTACCACACCATACATGTGCAGGTCAGAGAACAACTTGCAAGAGTCAGTTCTCTCATTCTACCATGTGGGTTCTGGAGATGGAACTCAACTGTCAGGCTTGGCAACAAGCACCTTTACCCAGTGAGTCATCTATTTGACTTCCTCCCTCCC